CCACGAGTTGAAGCTCTGATGCAATCGGTTCGAAGAACATATTTGAAGCTTTGTGAAGATCGATTTATTAACCCAATCAAGGTAACCAAGCGCTCTGCAAAAGCAAAAAAGCCAAGAGCACCGACGAACTGATGTGGGTTTCGATGTTAGATCCAAGGTCATCAGAGCTTAAGCATTTGAACCCAGCGGAAGCGGAACGTGCCCGAGAACATCTTATTGACGCAGCAGTTGAGTTGGCCAAAGAAATGAATGCCACCACCGAGTGTAGCAATGAGAACGTTTCTTTTCGTACCAATATGGATCAAATGACGACACCTCATAAAGAGAATTTGGCTTGGCTAACCGATGTATACAGTGGCGGTGTAGAAGCTGAAGTCGAGGAACCTATTCCGGAACAAGAAGAAAAGTTACGAGAGAGGTGCAAGTCTCAGCTTTTGGTCTACATGAGCAATGCTCATAGTACCCCTGTGACTACAAATGCGTTAAAGTGGCGGAAAGCCAATCAAAAAGGTTGTTCGATAATAGCAGCACTAGCACGTAAATGGCTAGGCTGCATCGCCACTTCCGCTCCATCCGAACGTGCTTTTTCGAAAAGCGGGAATGTTGTAACAACAAAACGCTGTTCGTTAGCTCTGGATGGTATACGTGATGTTATGTTTGTTGGTGAAAACTACGCCGAGCTAGACGACAATATTCCTAGTGATTCAAGTGACAACGACACTGAAAACGAGAAATAGCTAGTACGAACATGATCACAGTCGTTTATATGATCGTTTAGTGCGAAATGGATATGCTGTTTGAACTTCGATCGTCTCCGTTTACATTTAAAATCATGCTTGCAAAGCTACAGCTAAATGGCGTAGGATGGCCACTCGACACGGTAATATCAGATAAAAGCTTTTCTCATGTTGTTTCGCAATGGCCAAAGTTTTCACACACTACTTATCCTTGTCCTACAAAATAACAGCTATCACGAAGCAATCGGTTGCTGATCGAAATCGTCTTCTGGTGCTCGCTAACGGAAAGATATGTTCATAATAGTAAGAATCTTGTGTTTACCAAACTCTGACTTCGAAACCAAATATCAGCTAAGAGCCACACAAGACATATCCACGCACTTGAAAAAAATCTACATTAAAAACAACCTGATCAAGATGGGGAATTCCCACAAGTAATGCGCAGGCACCATAAAGTGTTATACTAACGCACCTAACAATGAACACCATGTGAGTACAGACATAACTGTGAGGATGCCACGTAACCGCATGACATCGTACCACAGCTCCAAAAGTACAATTGTGAAGCCAAAGCGTGTACGATATGACGAACCTGTTGTCCAAATGCAGGGAGTTGTCAACATCAAGTTTGCTGACACTTTCGACAGCACTTTCTAGTACAAACACATTCTTCGAAACCATTAGCATCGTGCACAAACTGCAGTCAATTAATTTACATACCCACGTCGCATTTTAATGGTCCCTAGGCATATTCGTCATATCAGGCCGCTATAATATAACCAAACCCACGCACCAAATGATCCAAACCACTCATTCGATTCTCCACCACAGCTTGAAATGTAGTCGCGAAACAACTATAATATCTTCTTTGTTTCGAAGTGAGGTACATTGACGTCATTTAGCGCTAATGCTAACGATATCCTATGTCCGTCCTGCCGCTCGTCTATTTACCGATCGGCAGCTTTGTGCCGCGTTGACGGCGGCACTGCTACTGTTCACTAAAGTCCAGTAGAAAGTAGTGGTCCGTTGTTGTCCATATTTAGGTTGGTCTGCATCCAGTGCAGTACGTCCGTATCAGCATGTTCGTACAGTTCCGCCCTGTTTCCACCACTGCGTCGCTCTCCGACGTGGGTAGTCTGGATACTCTTCCTCGAGCCCATTGCCTTGTTCGCCAGCATGTCTGCCATTTTGTTGTACTCCCATAAGTGATGAGACCATGATTCCACTCGCACTGTCGCCAGTAACCGGTGACATCTCCAATATAGCGGCACTAGGTGCGCTGCTTGTGGTGGCCTCCGCGTTTGATGTTGCTTAATGATAAGCGCACTATCACCAATGACATGAATCGGGGAGTATCCGTAACGAGCGCATGCTCTTAGTCCCGTCAGGAGGCCTAAGTTTTAAGCTTGGTTATTTGTGGTCGCTCGCGCTGCATACGACATGCTCGCAGCCCAGACGATATGGAAAAGCATCCCGTCCTCCATTACCCTGACCACCACTGCTCCTGCCCTCCAGGCCCAGGATTGCCTCTTGAACCGCCGTCGAATAAGAGAAGATACCTGCAACTCCCGTGTTCGGGTTGATCCACTACATTTAGGCTGGAATCCCCTATTAATGCTCTATTGAGCACCATAACCGCCATGTCGGTCGTTGCGCTATGGGCTGAGGAATATAGCCTCATGTGTATCGTCCGATAAGCTATCGCCAATCTATTCCGGAGTATGGTGCAATGGTGGATTGCAGTAACAATGTTGGTGTCGTCAAAGTGTTGAACCCTCCACCTCCATACGCTATGAAAGTAGAGGGCGGCTCCAATCCTCCAGTAGCTTTCGGCAAGCTCTGCAACACGTTGTGAAAGGTTCCGAGGTGCCATAAAGGCGTCCATTTCTGTCGTTTCCATCGTTGTCCAGATTCCCAGTGGTATAGTACCAAGTGTCAGTCCGAAGTTCGCTTGCTCTATAATCTTCTCAGGCAGGCCGAGTTGCCGCCACCTCCTAACAAATACCCAACGCAATTGGTGCGCTGCTGGACATGTCCAGAAAACATTATGTAAATCAATGTCAACTTTATGGACACACGAAGAGTGGGGCAGCCCAACTTCTCGTTACGTCTGTCGTATAGAGAGAAAGCTTGCAACTTGAGTCGATACAAAATCTGCTCTCCCCACGGATTCAGCCCGACTATCCTCCGAATTTGCTTCCAGTCCAAAGATCGGAGACCTGCAGTTGCCCCTGTGCTGAGGCACTTCCATTTTGCAAGTTTTTCATCTCGGCATCGAGTGCCATTTCGGTGTGATGCCGTCGCCACGTAAGCCTTGTAGTGGTGGCGAGATCGAGACCACCGGCTCTTGCCCACCCATAGGCATGCCATACGAGTGATTCGTGGGTGAGGATGAACGTATTGCACTTCCACCTCCTTGTCAACCATGCTACTTATCTGCTCCGTTATTGCCGCCATTGAATTCGGCATTTCCACGACTTCCTTCGTGTACGTGGAACTTTGTAGCTCTAGTGTGCCCTCAGTTGTTATGCTCGCAGTGAATGGGTGGTCTGTCGGCGCCCCTAAGAAGCGTATTTCGCTGTCGCTATATGACCGCACAAGCATGAGTGGGAAATTGGTAATTAATCTCCGGATGAGCGTAATCAGCTGGAGCGCATATTGTCGGTAATTTGGCGCTGGAGTACTGTAACATGTATAACTCCACGCCTAACGAATGTCCACGTGATGACATTTGATATTAGTTTCCCTGTCGTTGCAGTTCCCTCTACGCAGTCACTCGCCTTTATCCACTGATCATCTTCATGATACAAATACAATTCGTCAATTCGCACATATGGAAGCCACTCGAGGCATTGTGTGGCCACTGTGGTTACCACCCGCTTCTGGGCTAAGTGGAGGAAAGTCTGGATCGAACCAGAACCATCCACCTCAAGAATCCTTCCCTCTTGCCGTTCTGTGAGTCCCCCAAATACCGTGATCATCCATCCCAATCCCGCAAGCATGGCGAGGTACTGATCCGTAAGCTCTGCGCCGCCAGTGAAAGTGATCAGAGTCCTGCCAGTTGCCCACATGGTGGCCTTTGTTCGACACCCTTGTTCAGGAGGTGGCAACGTGTTGGGTGTGATGACTATTCTTTTGGGTCGCTTGTCTCGTGTTGCTGCGCACAAAACATCTCCAACAATATGATTGCTGCTGGTGCCTTGAATGGCCCAATTGGAGACCGCAACAGCCGCCATTGCCAACAGCTCGGCACGAAGATCAGGGATAGCTAGTCCACCTTGTGTCCGCTCGAGCGCAGTCAGATCAGCATTTAGCCATGCCCGCGAGCCACCCACATCTACAAAATAGAATGCGTGCCATACAAAATTGTGAATCTTCTTGTCAAACTCGTGGATAGTGGTAGTCGTTGGCCATGCATGCTGGGCAATGTACGTGAGTCTGGGGATGATCACAGCCGTAGCAATTAGACTGCGCTGATCGACGGCCGTCGTTTTCTGGCAAGCCAGATGAAGGCGTGCTTGTAATTGCGAGTTTGCTACTTTCCATGTCCGGTCGGCCAGGACATCACTTCCAACTTGAATTCCGAGATATCTACTGGCCGTTCCAGCCTCTTGGACCTGTAATGGCTGTGGTAGATGCCACTCTGGCTTCGCCCCTGTCGATCTAAGCGCAATGACAGCCGTCTTCCCGTGATTCAGCCGGAGTCCCGACGCATCCCCAAACTTGGTCGTGATCTCGTTGAGTATTTTGACGTCGTTCGGCGAACTATGGTAAGCGGCCGTGTCGTCTGCGTACCCTGCCACCTTCAACCCTAGCTGTCCGGCCTCTGACTGTAGGAGTACTCCCTTGAGCCTAGTGTCCTCGTCGAGCTTCCGATATAGTGGGTCTAAGGCCAATATAAAAAGCATTGCAGCCAACGGACATCCTTGTCTGATGCCGCTGGTTATCGACACTTGCCTGGACTTGTTACCATTTGCTAGAAAACGAACCGTTGTCGATTGGTGTAGCTGCATCACTGCATTTACAAACGGTTCGGGATATCCGTGCCTCCTCAACGCTGCGATTATAAAGTCCCTGTCCAAAGAATCATACGCCTTTTTGAAGTCCAGGAGCAGCGCCACGGCATCGTCCTGGTCAGGATCCAGTAGCACCATTTTCTGGGCAGCCTCATACAGATGCGGCGTTTCGTGTATGGTTCTCCCAGGAACAAACCCATTTTGGTTTGAATGGATGCGCTCGGGAAGTGTGCTCGATACTCGATTAGCTAAAATACGAGTGAGGATCTTGTAGTCGGTATTGAGAAGCGCAAGTGGACGATAGTTTAAGGAATTGCGCTGGTTGCCTCCTTTTTTGAGACAAAAGATGTCGGCCTCTGTGAAGGATGCAGGAAAAACTCCAGCACTGTACCATTGCTCATACAGTTTGGACAACACCGGTACGAGCTCCTCTTCATATTTCCTGTGCCAGTCGTTGCTCAGCCTGTCCGGTCCTGCCGCTTTTCCAGTTTTGCATCTTCTCAAGGCCACACGAACCTCACTCTCCGAAATCTTTGCATCCACCGCCATTTGCGCTTTGGAAGTTGGCACTTGCGGCATCCACCCTACCACCTCGTCTATGTCGTCGCGATGTGCTCGTGGTTGCTGGAAAATCGGTGTCCATGCATCTGCCAGTGTGTCAGCCTTGTCATGAATTCCCCGCCCAGGTGCGCCCTCCACTGGGTCCAGTCTCCGAATTGTGTTGTCTTGAAATTTGCTCGACACCCGTCGAAACAGGCCTTTAGTCGTTTTTCCTGTCCAATGTGTGCCTGCTCGAAATAGGCTTTGACGGCGAAGCACCGCCCTCTGCTGCTTTCATTCCGCAATGGCTCTGCGAAGGCGGGCAGCTCGTGTGGGGCCAGCAGTCGTTGTTAGCGAGAGGCCGTCCATAAGCTCCGTCACGGTATGCACCGTTGTCTCCAACTTGCGATCCTCCTCTTGCCAACGGTTTTGTTGTTTGACCAGGCGTGACAATCTCTGTGCTAGGCCTCGTCGAGCAGCCTTTCGCCGCTGTCTTTTGATCTTCAGCGTCTCTTTCGCAATGTGCGATTTGAGTCCGTCCCAAGCTTGAGCACTATCCGAAGCCGTCAGCGGTTCGGTTTGAAGCCTGTTGGAGAATTGTTTTATGATCGACACGGTAGCCTCAGTGACGGCGTCGACTGCGTAATTCGGGACTGGGTAGAGTTTAGCGGGTTTTCTGATCCGAATTGGGTCTGTTGGCGAGGACAAGTGTAAACGCACAGCAAGATGGTCGGCTGGTACCCCTGGGATATGAGTTACCGTTCCTGCCACCCACTCCATTAGCGCTGCGGACACGTACCACCGATCTAAGCGTGACGAGAATTCTTTACCATCCACTCGATAATGAAACGTATGAGTATCCGCCCGATGCTTAGCCAATAGTTAAGGTGTCCAGGCGAGGGTCTGTCCAGAACCACCGGATCAAGCAGTCCCCATTGTGCCAGCAAATTGTACAGCATCCCCGATCCATGAAGGTTCTTGCCGCCATGATAGCTCCGATCCGCAACTTCGTCCAATGTGCAATTAAAATCACCCCCGACTGCAATTTTTGCCCCCGCTGGAAACTCTAGCTGCTGAAGCTTTTCAAAGAGCTGTTGTCGCTGCGCCTTCACATGTGCGGCATCGATATTGACCACTATCACAACGTTGCCATCTATCTTGCCATAGATTGCCATGAAATTCGGGCTCCAGTGATCTTTGGCAAAAGGCTCGGTGGATGTAAAAACGCCATACGGGTCGATGAGGACCGCCTCGCCACCTTTTTGTTCCGGCGCAGGAGACCAGTACGATAGCTGCTTTGCTGTGGTTCCGGACCGAAAACCCCATCTCTTTGCGTAAGACGCAGAGATGTTCCGCACTTCTCCAGGTTTTACGTGCGTTTCTTGGAGTAAACAGAGATCATATCTGCCGTTATCATCTCTTGTGCGGAAAGTATCCATCCATGCCCCCTGAGCTGTGGCGTCCTTGCCAAATCCGTTGACATTCGGGGTTACAATACTAACGGTTTGCTCTGCATGATGGGGGTGTAGCTGATTTGTTGCCTCCCCACGTTCCTGCTGGTTTCTGCTTCGACGAGCTTCGGCTTTGTCATGTTTAAACCTTTTGGAGATGTAGCGCTGCTTATCTTCAGCATGGGGTGTCGTACAATAGTCTGTCATTTTCCGTTGCTGGCGGCAAAGTGGGACTGAAATTGATCGCGTATTTCGCGATCGAGATCGAGTTGGCTCTTGCCCTGCCATTCCGACCCCAATTGCCCGTGACGGGCCCTTAATTTAGCTGGGAAGGTGCTTCTGAAGTTACTTCAGCAGCCCCTCCTTTCGACACTGCGGATACCGTCAGTGCCAAACTCCAATCACCTTCCTCCCCAATGTTACCAATTAACTCCTGTACGGTTGTGAACGTTTCGTGCCATACTGCCCGGGATCCACTTGGGGCCCTCCCCATTGTGGAATGTTTCCATCCTGCAACTGTGTAGGGGAGTATGTGCAATATACACCATTCGATATCATGCATGCCGTGGGGTTTCTGTCGTGTGCATTCAGACGACACCCATTAGGAGAGTCTTGCCCAGCGTTTCGGGTCCCTTGCTATTTTTTGCGCTGCACATTGCTCAAGACCAGACTTCGTGCAGGCTGCAAGCCAGTCCTTGCAATAACTCAAGATGTCTCGGGTGTGTTGATCATCGTTCATAAGTCGGTTCAGCGCCGCTGTTTGCTACACAAACTCTTCTGCAGTTCCCCACGTGACCAAATGCTCTAATGGCCACCGTTTCGCCTCTAATTCAGGGTATGGGAGGTAAGCAAAAAAATGATGCATTTTGAGGTTGTCTTGCAGCAGCCACCCATTTAAGTTCTCAATACCTTCTTTTCGGCGTCGTGGAGGAATTTCGAGTTGTCTTCGATAGATTGAACTCCAGCGTACATAAGCGTCCCGATTCTCGGCTAGCAGCAGTTCATACAGCGGCCGATCCTCCATCTTAATAATCGTAACATCCCGGGCTCGCAGAATCCGCGAGTAGGACGCATCGACTAACGGTCCCGTTGAAACTTGCACCGCTCTATCGGGAGGGGTGAACATTGTTTGCTGTCTAGTAAACTGTGATCCAGATGCATACTCGTCGACTCCGTACCCGGCATGTATGTGAGCCTCTTCGGCTTCCAATTCTGCTTCTGTTACCAGCTGCATATCCTCTCGGTTGAGGATCGGAACTCCCAGTTGTGTGTGCACCACGTCGAGGCGATCACTATGCTCCATCCTCTTTATGATCAAATTATTGTGCCGTGGATCGTCGACCAGCTTATCCAGAGTTACCATATTCACGGCCGCGTCTTCCTTCGTTACGAGGTTGATGTATCGTGTCCACTCATAGGTATCTGATAATTTTACTGCATATTGGAGATC